AAGGACACTTCTGCACGCTGCGACTACATGGTGTGGTCACGGCGTTTAGGGCAACTGCAGCTGTGCGTCTGGCACTTGCGGCATGCCATTGCGGAGTGGCCGGGACTACAGGCGGCCGGGACACCGAGGAACACGTGGTGCCCAGTGAGTGAGTGGAACACGCCGGACCCCCTCTGTGCGCCGTGACAGTGTTTGCTTGTATCAGAGAGATTGTCAGTGCCTGCATGTGAGTATGCTTTATGCTTACTGTATAATTAAATTTTTACACTGAAAGGACCAATATTTAGAATTACTAATGAAGCATACCAATAATAATATATGTACACTTCAATGAAAATGTTAAATATTATAACATTTAAAATATGGCTTGTTGCCTCAGATGATTGAGTAATTTCTAAAGATCGATTTTTATATATATATATATATATATATATATATATATATATATATATATATATAAAAATAAAGAATTCAAGATGCACTCACAGGTCTTCAAAAATAAGGAAAAAACTGGTGTTTTATTAATCCATACGTGATATACAACGAAAATCAAACAAAAGAAGCACGTTATGACAGTTGTTCTCACTTTAGCTTCATCTATCTTTGGTAATATGTATCACTCTATTATGTTGATAGTTTATACTATCAACTTTCCTTCACTGCTATTTGCTTCTTTTGTGCTCGGCATGGTAACGGTGTGTACACTATCACCATGGTTACTGTTTGCTTCCGTCAGACGTCCGATCACGTGACGGTCCGGGCGGCTTCCAATCACTTCCGGGTTCTAACGGGCAGACTCCCTTCACCTCACTGCCCTATTGGGTAAGTGCACATACATATATTTTTATATTTAATATATATACACTGTATTGTTATGCACACAATGATCTTGAAAAAGACCCGGCAGGGTCGAAACGTCGATTGATTTTCGTTGTATATCACGTATGGATTAATAAAACACCAGTTTTTTCCTTATTTTTGAAGACCTGTGAGTGCATCTTGAATTCTTTATTTTTATATTACTGACGCTTAAGATCTGCACCCAGGCAAGTAATATATGGATTATCTGCTTTAAGGAGAGTGCCAAGCCATCATCTTTTTATATATATATATATATATATATATATATATATGAAAATTTATTCCTACTTACTGTAATTTTCTTTTCCTTTTCATAGGCCATAGCAGCACAACAATGGGTTGCTCCTTCTTATCCCTAGTTAAGCAGGAACCTAATTAAAACAGAAGGTATAAGTAACCCTTCCTACTGCTCCCATCCTCAGTCTTGTTTCCAACAATATGACCAGGAAAAGAAAATTATGGTAAGTAGGAATATATGTTCCTTTTTCCTGGCCATATCTATGGCAGCACAACAATGGGTAATATCCAAGCAATAACAAAGGAAGGGAAAGAAATACACAAGACTTCCAAAATATGAATGCAAATTGACAATACACGCACCTCATTAAGACAATGGAAATGAAAAACTGATTGTCCACTATTGGCACATTATCAAATTGACCAACTCAAATGTACCAAAAAAAAAAATGTCTGAAAATTATTGGTTGAGGACCAAGCAGCCATTTACCTAAACTTGGCCACTGACGCTCAAGAGGGAGAAATGGTTCTAGTGGAGAGCAAATAGACCTTCAGGTACTGTAACCCTTAGTAGGCTGAAAATAGACATTCAGGTACTGTAACCCTTGTTAGGCTGAAAATAGCCAAGACTATCCATCTCCTTTTCATAGGCCATAGCAGCACAACAATGGGTTGCTCCTTCTTATCCCTAGTTAAGCAGGAATTAAAACAGAAGTCCTTTCCTGGTTCATTAGTAAAGATAAACAGACTATCAGAAGAAAGCCAGATAGCAGATCTATAGAAATAGATCTTAAGACATCTATCTAGGACAGGAGGAGAAAGTTTCATTACTGAATCTACTTTCTAATCAATAGGCTTTAGATATATTGTGGAAGGCAATAAAGGGTTCTATGCAAAATAGTGCCTGAAGATCTGATATCCTTCTGCCCGATGCAAATGTCACCGATAGAGCTAACTTAATATTAAGCAGTTGTGGAGAGAAAGAGTCTCATGGTTAAAAGCAGTGAGATTTCAGAGCCCTTAAAAAAACAAACCAGGAAATAATTCCACGGTGAACAATGGTTAACCGAGGGATCATATAAAAACAGATGACAGATAGTGATGTCCCGAACGGTTCGCCGAACGGTTTGCCGAGCGGTTCGCCACGGATGGCGAACATATGCGCTGTTCGGTCCGCCCCCTATGTTCATCCATTTTACATTAATTGTGAAGCTGCATTCTGAGCTGTCCAGGAGGGTCTGGGAGGGAGGGTCTGCTGCTGATTGGCTGGAATTTGTCTGCTGGCTGTGAGTTACAGGGTCATAGTTTACTCAATGATGACATAGGGGGCGGACCGAACAGCGCATATGTTCGCCATCCATGGCAAACCGTTCGGTGAACCGTTCGGGACATCACTAATGACAGATATTTAGATACCTCCATATCAAAGCCTTTTCACAAAAAAAGAGATCAGATAGTACTGAGACATGCACTTCTGAGGTGACGTGGCTAATTCCTAGATGAGTCCTGGATTGAAGAATTTAGAACCTCCTTGGCAGAATGAATTTGATTTATCACCTAATTAGAAATAGGCATCCTAACTCTGTAAATGTAGCCGAGGATATACGTTTTCCATGGTCTTCAAAAGGGTGTTATTTACTGTAGTAGGAAAATCCTTATATTTAAGCCCTTCTTTACAATATCGACACCTTCAGAATGAGCAAAGTAGCACTAGACCTGATGGAAGAGGGAAGAACTCTTTTGGGAGATCCCATGGAGGTACTGAAGAAGATAAGCAGAAGTGGAAATCATGGACTGGACACCTATGGAACTGTCAGGATGATTGATATTGGTTCTTGCAACCTATGCAAAAGAGAAGTGTTGGATGTTAAGGGTGCCCCTTTCCTGAACGTATTTGATTTTGGAGAAAAGTTCCTCAACTCCAGTGGATGATATTCATAGTTATCACTGTCCAAGGGATTTCTAAAGGAAAGTTAACCTCCTCTCTTGTGCCATCTTATCAGACTGTGTTCCCAGCTATACTCTGAACTGGGAGAAGCAAGGTGACTTCAGCAGACATTCATCTTTCACCATGAAGATGTAAAAATAAAAGTGTCCTTCCACTGCAATCTGAGAAATATCTGGTGATGTGTTGCAATGGATGCGTGGGAATAAGAATCCTTCAAATCTATAGACATAATTTAATGTACTAGGAATACTACCCTTATAAGGAAGAATGTTCAAGAATTCTGTAAACTAGAATGGATTTCCATCCACCTTGTGGGGATATTTATGGGATAATAATAGTAAACAGTGAGAATTGCCCACTAATTCAATTCTCAGACCCAAAGATCGTTATCGTGTTAAGTGGAATGTATTTCATATAAATAATATCACAATGTTATAAAAATAGATTTTATTTTATAATAACAAATTAATTAATAATAATAATATGTAACATGCGTGACAATAATCAATGAATATCCAGTATAAAATGATATGCAATACAAAGGAATGGCTATACACGTTTCAATAGCTAAACAGCATTTTCTGTCAAGTCTTACACGATTTATGAGGTATCCTTACAGACTGAAAGGAAAACTTTTCACAGCGAAGGGCCATAAAACCCTGGCTAACAGTTAGAAAAACCCTTTCAATGCTGGCTAGATCTCCTAGGTAATTAAGATCTATTCTTATGTAATTTTAAATAAAATAACATTTAAACCAGTTCATTAGTCATTTCCTGGAACCATCCAATAAGAGAATCTACCATATTTATATAAGCAGATTTTTAATTCACCTAAAAGATATCTTATCTTAATTAGAGCAAATCAATACACCTGGATAAAAACAGCGGTATGCTACCACGTGATAATATCACATCAATATATAATTATTCTTAATTCCACCTGCAGAATGGAATGTTTGTAACTATATATTCTTTAGTTAACTAAGATTTCTTAATATGGAAATCTGACCGTGCTTTATCCAGTCATATATCATGCTATTAGTAAATTTGAATTAATTTAATTAATTAAATGAAACCAGTATAATTACCAGTTGAGTAGATATTTCATCCGATTGGTAGATAGTCTCAGGAACTTATTTGGATGTCTGTAGGTGCATGAGTTATGGTGAAAGGTGGTGTTGGTTAGAAAGTCAGTAAAATTCTAAGTGTTAGAGTTTTAATAGTAGAGTGTTAGTCTCAGATGTTGTCCTGGGTTTCTCTGCATGTCCGAGTTGGAGTCCCCAAACATCCAATTCCTCTCTCCTCTTTTTCCTCCTTTTTCCATTCTTCTTTTCATACCCATCCTTCCTTGTCTACCTTCCTTTCTTCTTTGCATACCCTCTGTCTTCCCTTTGTCCTAACTTTTAAAGGGCCAGACTCTCTGTACGTCATCAGTTGATAACCCAATAGAAGCACTAGAGGTGTGCTTATCTTTCAGATCGCAATTTAGGTATTTGGTCTATAGAGGGAAGTCTTGTCCCACTAAACATACCTATCCAGGAAAGAGTTAACTTTTCTTGGTGGCTATTTTGACGTCATTTTGGCCTATCTTTATGTTTGCTATAACTTAGATTTGCTGTCACTTCAAACAGTTTCTTTAAGTTTTGTCCAGACTTAGTGTCCGCAATTCCTGCTATAATTTCTGATATGAGAGTTCGTGAACTATGTTTCACCTTAAACTTACAATGGGGTCTTGTACATATAGAAAGTAAAATTTTATTATTTAATCTTCTCTGTCACAAATGTCTGGGTTTAGAATTGATCTATTCCATTAGCATTTAGACAGTCTGTCCAACCCCCGTTCTCCTTATCACTTGGTTTGTATATACTATGCATTCCTTTAGCTCTGGCAAAGTGGTTAGTTTTACAGAAAGGATAGAAATCTCGTGTCTCTTTGTTAACTTGAAAATAACAAAATGGAGTCTGCTCTGTTTAGAGTGACTCAGCATATAGACTTTTAATTTCTATCATAGCACAAGATGTCTGCCGATATAAATACCCTGACAACCTGTTATAAATATTTGTGTTCTAGCTGCTTTTAAAATTGCTCACCATAGCTCCCTCTAATTGAAGGGAAGCCTTGAGATTTACAAAGCGTCTCTTTTTACCTTTTCCCTTCCTCTGGTACAATAATGACCACTTCTCAAGGTTGAAATATACCATTGTGAGTTTCTCATTCTCTGGTAACTCTACCAGTAGCCTGAAAGTCTGAATATTCTGCACAGTATCTTAGCTGTTCCTAGAACTGCATTCTTCTGGACTGCAATGTCAGATGTTACACCTGGAATCTGCTGAAGCTTCTCCCCCCGACTTGGGTGTCACAACTCTGAGTGCTCCCATCACAACTGAGACTACTAATACCTTCACTTTCCACATCCTTTCTAGCTAATCTTTCAGTCCTTGGTATTTGTCCACCTTCTTCCTGATGTTATAGTCTCTGAGTATTGCTACATCCACCACCACTGCAGTTTTCCATTCCTTGTCTACCACGACGATGTCAGGTTCGTTGGCCAGTACGTGCTTGTCTGTCTGGATCTGAAAGTCCCACGGGATCTTAGCCCTGTCATTCTCAACTACGCTTAGTGGTATCTCCCATCTGGACGTAGGCAGGTACAGCCCATATTTGATGGTGATGTTTCAGTACACATTCCTAGAAATGTGGGCCTGGATTAAAAACATCTGAGCTGTTTTTCTGTTGGCAGCGATAGCAGCCAGCAAGTAAATAGTGAAAAATCCTTGAAAGCGCATAGGTTACTTATGTGGCAGCTCGCCATCGCTTGCTAGCCAGTCACCACATGGAAATAGTTAAATAAACAGAAAATAAATACAAATCCTATTGGGATCAGTAAGACCATACTACTCATATGCCCCTGTCTGCCATGCCACCACCATGGACATTGGGTGAGGGTCAGGGTCGGACTAGGAATACAAAGGGAGTGTGGAGATTCTGCTATTCAACGGCATTGGATCTAGCTGAAATCCAGACCAAACTAAAGCCCATTCAGGCCTAATTTACAAAATACAGACATTGATGGATTCCATCAACAATGTCCAGATTTTGCAGTCCAAATGACCCTGCATGAGGCCGGATGGTTTTGCCCCATTCGGATCAGACTTTAGTGAATAATCCTAATAATAAAAAAAAAATCTGAAAACTGACAGTTCCCCCTTATTTCACAGATTTTCAGTTGGTCTTTATGAAGGATTACCTGGTTACTTGGTAAAATTACACTATATAACACTATGTAAATAAATACAAATTTTCTCAGAGTTGTCCACTTTATTCTTATTATTAGTTTTGCAATAAGACACCAAAAGACATAAAAGTAAATTAAAGGGATACTATAACTGCAAAGAATACAAAGCTGTATTTCTGGTATTATAGCTCCCCTCCCTAGCTCACCGACATTAATAAAGGTTAAAAACCCTTTATTTACTTACTATATCCCAGCGCCAATGTCCTTCGACGCTGGGTCACGGCTCCGCGATGAGCAGTCGCTAATGCACATGCGTGGCAAATGCCGCATGTGCATTAGACCTCCCTATAGGAAATCATTGAATCAATGCTTTCCTATGGGGAAAAAGCTGACGCTGGATGTCAGTTACCCGACCAAAGGTCCGTTAGGATCCAGGAAAGCGCCTCCAGTTGCTGTCTGGGAGATAGCCACACGAGGTAGACTTAGTGCTTCAATGTAAGCATTGCGGTTTCTCTGGAACTGCTATGGTTAGCATTGCAGTTTTTCTGGAACTTCAATGTTTAATATTGCAGCACTAAGTGCAATAAGAACACTGCGCCCAGACCACTTCAACTGAACAGACCACTAGCTGAACTAGTCTGGGTACCTATAGAGTCAATTTAAATTCTTAAGTTTGAATTATAGAAGCAAGAGGTAGTAAGTGAGGGCCATCGTCAAACACGCTTACAATCTATGGGAAATAGAGTACATTTACACAAAAGGTTAAGTACATTTTGTTAAAAGTAAAAATGGATTGCTTAGATGTTGGTTGGCAGAGCTCATACCTTCTTAATAGCTGACTCTGAGAAACTTTGAAATATTAACCCTGACAAATGCATTTCCAAATTGTGATATAGGAAAATGCCATAGTGGTATTTGAGATAGATTATTTGGAATTCACTTTTAACATGACTATGTAATTATTTTGCTTTAGAAAAGCATAATACTGTTCTTTACATTCCTGTTTTACACACATATAGCCCAGTAGTTTTTAGGATATTTTGTATTTTGTTTTCAAAATTGTGTAAATTAAACGCATTATTCCACTCTAATAAAAAAATTAAAAAAATCTTTTAACTGTGGATCTTTGCAGCACTGAATATTCATTTCTCAACCCTAGATGGCAGACGTTACTTTTTTATATCCACATAAAAGTTTAAGGATAGCTGACACTTTTCAGGAATTTACACCAATGAAAATAACCTATAACTTTTAATATTACAAACCTAGAGAAGTGATAGTTCCCATTTAATACAAATATAGTTTGTTTGGAAACTTTGATGGATATTTGCTTTAAAGGGACACTATAGTCACCTGAACAACTTTAGCTTAATGAAGCAGTTTTGGTGTATAGAACATGCCCCTGCAGCCTCACTGCTCAATCCTCTGCCATTTAGGAGTTAAATCCCTTTGTTTATGAACCCTAGTCACACCTCCCTGCACGTGACTTGCACAGCCTTCCATAAACACTTCCTATAAAGAGAGCCCTATTTAGGCTTTCTTTATTGCAAGTTCTGTTTAATTAAGATTTTCTTATCCCCTGCTATGTTAATAGCTTGCTAGACTCTGCAAGAGCCTCCTGTATGTGATTAAAGTTCATTTTAGAGATTGAGATACAATTATTTAAGGTAAATTACATCTGTTTGAAAGTGAAACTAGTTTTTTTTTTCATGCAGGCTCTGTCAATCATAGCCAGGGGAGGTGTGGCTAGGGCTGCATAAACAGAAACAAAGTGATTTATTTCCTAAATGACAGTGAATTAAGCAGTTAAATTGCAGGGGAATTATCTATACACTAAAACTGCTTTATTTAGCTAAAGTAATTTAGGTGACTATAGTGTTCCTTTAATTTACCTATTATTTCTCCAAATTGCTGATTATCATATGTCAGGCATATTTACGTTGGACCCCTCTAAATCTAATATTTATAGTCATTATATACACCCATATATCGAGACCTGGATTTGCCATAAGGCCATCGAGGTCATGTGCTTGTGTGGCTGCCCAGCAGCATAGGGTTAGCTATAGGGTTAGCTCAACTCCTCTTCCTGTCTGCATTGTTTGGGGGTGAGTGGTTCACCTGGCAAGGTACGAACTGGGTTTTATGGGGCATAGGTACGTGGCACTGGCCAAGTTCTCTCTTTTTCTTTGTGGACTGGTGGGACAGAGCCCGGAGTGAGCCACCATTCGTGCTTTGCAGCGACTGACAGAGCCAGCTCTGAAGCACTGTGGTCATCTAACATACAGACACTGGAGAGGATCCTGCTATCTTAGTAAAGGCTGACTACTATTCATCCTTACCTTAACTAGAGTCTTGCATTTTGTCTGTCTTTGCCTATGTATATGTCTGAGTAAACAGCTGTGAATGTGGCTGCTGCTGTATGCATGTTTCATGTGTGCCTATATGACTGTGTGTCTGTATTTGTGTTTGCATGACTGTGTGTCTGTATGACTCTGTGTGGTATATTTATCAAACTGTTCTGAAAAATTATTATTCAATTAATCTTTTGATCATAATTATTAAAGTGTGTAATGGCACCTTCAGCATAAAGGGGTTAAACCGCCATTTAGTAGATCTTCCCTTCCAGAGACACAGGCACAGCTACTGCAGAACACCAATCCGCCGAACAGGAAACCATATGAATGCCGTAAACAGTCGAATAGGAAAAACCATCCGAATAGGTTTACAATCCTAGCAGTCAAACTGGAACAGCATACAGTAAATCCCCCCAAGAACGAGACAAAGCTCCGTGTTGAGGGTCAAGCAGTGGTCAGACAGAGCTGTGGGTTTATTGTGCTTATATACACATTCTTACACATTAGTACCACCCACAGGGTTTTGGAACACAACCAATAAACACATACAATACACTCAGACACTCCCACACAAAATCCTCCCCTCTGCCTGTGATTTAATTACCTTACACAATGGGTAATGTAATTATAACAAGCAGAGAAATAAATTTTTTCCACATTATTCATAACTTGAAAAGTATGCATCACATTCACATATAACGTACATTTTCAGAATCAGCATACTCCAAATACAAACATACGTCAAAATCATAAAAATTGGTCCAGTGGTTCAAAAGATAGATCGTAGTCCTTTGTGACCAAAGGAAGCATGGCTTTTCTGCCCAAAACCAGTTCCACAGAGTCTTCTATCCTGGAGATAATTGGGAAGTAATCCAATTATCTCCAAGCACAGAGGCAAAACTCCATTGAACACATGGCAGCAAAAGACAATAAAATACATAAAAACATATAACTGTGCAGCCATTGCACAAAACAGGTACAGTCAACATATCCCCAGATAGCTCAGATCTGAGCGCACATTATTACTGAATGGCGCTCAGAGCACACACATACAGTTCAATTGCCATGGAGCCAAAGTCTTTCCCATAGTCTTTCATTATACGAATGGGCTCCATTGCATAGCTATCTGGGTTATCACCTCTCAAACAGGGCAAGCACCAAATGACCCAGATTTCATGTCTTTGCAGGGGAAAATCAAGCCTTTTAACATGGGGCCATAATCCAAAGGCAACAGGCGAGCAACCAGGCTTCTCCAATGCAATGTGGCGAGATTGGTCTCGTCACAAAGTGTTCTAAAAGTGATCTAAAAAAGTGACAATTATCTTTTCACCGTTGGAGATTTCAATTCTCATATCTCCTCATCAAAAATCCAGTTTTCTGTTGCTTGATCTATGATTTGTAAGACAAACAAACAAAGGAAGTACATGTCTCACTAACTCCACAAACTAAAACATGCAGTTACCATGTAGCAAATGGAAACAGTAAATAAAAGTATGATCTAAATATATATAAAGGGATAGATCCACATCTGTAGTCAGATGCCCCTTTAAACAGTTTCCTGTAGGCAGCTGTCTACTGTTCCTAGTTGTAAATGCGACCTTGCTGCTTTGTACATACCTTCCAACATTTCATATTTACAAAGAGGGACACTTTAATTTTAGGGATGTGAGTGGGGGTGGGGCCAGGTACATGGCTGTTCTGTGGAATTTTTGGGGATATATTAAACATTTTTTGCAACTCAAATGTTAGTTAAACCAAGAACAAGGTATCCTATTTATACAGACTGATTTCTAATCTCATTTACTGTAGTTAAAAGCCACCTTATTGTGAGTATTATTGCTGTTGAGCTCTGTTATACACTCAGACACACCAACAACATAGATCTTCTAGGAAAGGGGGACATTAGAATAGAAAACAGGGACAGAGGGATGTGGGCTCAAAATTGAGACTGTCCTTTTTAAATATGGACACTATTGTATGTAGTATAACCATTAAATCTAAATTTAAGTTTGTTTAGAGCAGTGGCGGAACTACCGCAGTTGCAGGGGTTGAAGCTGCGACCGGGCCCATCACTCCTAGGGGCCCGTCCGCCCTGTGGATCCCTGCAACCCGGGCCATGTAAAGCAGCCCCGGTTGCGCAGTAGAACCGCCGTGGCGCACTGAAGGGGCCAATCGGATGGCTCATGCTGTTAGGG